AGCTTCTTTGTGGTTCATATTACTGATTTATGCATTAATACACATTAAGAGCTGCAGAAGAGCATTGGCCGATGGTCACCGCAATATCACTCCGTTACATATCTGGTCACGTCACTGAGCCCACCCCTCACGGTCAAATTTCTCCAGATGTCTAGGCTTGTCTAGGGCGAAGGGCTAATGTTTGTTTCGTGTTTGGTTTTTTGTTTACATCTAAGATTATCAGTAAAGCGGCCCGCGCCCTATACATATAGATGTGTTGGGTCCATGTAGGTCCTATTACATGACGGCTTCGAGACTATTTGACGGCGCACTACCACTGTGAGTCGTAACTATTTGTTCCCTGTAAGTATGATTGTTATCATGGTCAAGTGAAAACCTCACGACCAGTACTACTGCTACTTCACCTGGCGCTGCCCATGTGTGTGCACCACGTAACGATGTTTCTCGCTCAAGCCGCAACTCTTAGAGGGGGGTGTTTTAGGCCTAGAAATGATAAATCCCCGATGGCGCTGCTTCTACCAAACCGGTGATACGGCCCAGATTTGTTTGGGCATAAAACATGCAGTATATGCGTGTTTTTGGCACCAAGTCATGCTGTATTAAAGATATGCACTGTACGAAGTATTCTAGAATCCGCCGTTACCGCGCGGCATCATTAAAAGACACAGATGTTAATTGTTGATGACATCAAAACTGAGTCTCGGCAACAGAACACAGTTGTAATCAATGATAGTGCAAAGAATACTGAAACCCACCACAAATATGACTTATATTCAGACTATTGAAGCGATCCAAAGGTATCTTATTACAACTAGAAGACTACTAGACAGAAGGAACAGGTATCAACGTTAAACGGTCCAAACGGGACTTCCCATCAGAAATTGATGTGAGGAGATTAATACATCGCCGACCCCGAGGAGATTGATGCGAGGAGATTGATGTGCCGAGGTTCCGGGATCATTCCAAGATCATGCCGCGGCGTCCCGCAGATTTAAGACAGCGCGTGAAATAAATATTTCATGCGCTATTTATTGAATAACAAGAGCATATGTACTCCCGCACAACTCGTATGGTGTATTTTACACTGTGATATTGAGATACAGTATAGAAGAAGGTGTCCCCCACGAAATAGAGGGAAGCACTTTCCGCCCCCCATTCCTGTTACAGGGTTGGTGTGGTTGGTTTGTGTCTTCTAGTGACAAGTGCACATTAAACAAGAGTACAAGTTAAATGAAATAAGAAAGTATAAAGAAAGAAAACCAAAGTCCTCAGTAACTACCTTATGCTCCAGAAAGTTAATAGCAGTGAGAGTGTTGTGAGTAGCGCATACTCTCTCTGTCAATTGTACTTTTAGTGTAAAGTCTAAGTTCAGGCAATTGAAAGATAAAGATTAAAGCACGCCCAAGTTTGTTAGAATCTCGAGACAGAAAATCTATCACAACCTTGTAAATATGATGCAGATGTATGTACTTGCAATAAGAATTCTGATTTGTTCAATGATAACCCCCTTGAACTCATGTTAGTCTTTGGTGTGTGTTGGTGTTGGTGTGAGGTATTCAGCTTCATAGTAGCATTTTATGCATAGCCCAGAGTCGGCATATCACCGGGCCCGATACAAAACCTGATTAATTGATTCGCCAAATGAGGCCAAAATAGTGCGAGGTCCCGTTTTGAAGCATAGTAATTTAGATTAAGTTACTACATTTAGCCAATTATTTTAAATCTTACTGTACTTAACTGACTGTTTTAACCTCCAAGGTTTCAACCAATTTAGTTACCAAATGCTCCTGATTCCTGATATCTGTGGCTTCCAAAGTTCAAGTTGGAATGGATATCTAATATTCACAGACTGGACATCTGCTTCCACCTGCTTGGTCTTGCAGACTCGGAACCGGAATAAGCTCACAACAGCAATACCGAACATCAGGGCTCCTGTCGTGCCTTGTCGAAGACATCCGAACTTGGCTTGACGCTAAACATATCTTATCACTTGCGTACTTGGCCGGATTGTAACAATTCAAGAGCAGCCGAATTTGACTGCATTGTTTGAATTTTTGAATCTCGTTTGAATTTCGCTCTACTTAACTCCGCTCAGCTTTCGCTCTAAAGCCACTCAGTAGTGAGTTTAATCTACTTGGATAACCGATGGAATAAAAATTTCTCGCGACTTGCAGTCGAATAGCGCAATCTTCGCTTCAATTTTGTTCATCCCAAAGTAAAAATAGTCATACAGAGAGGTAAAACAGCTGTCCTAAAAGCTGCCTCACTAAGCTCTCGCTAACGTCTTAATAGTTAGATCTCTGGTCCATCCAGTAGTGTCTTCTGAGATGTCTTTGGTCAGAATGGGCAATATGCATACTTACATGAATGGAGAGTAGGATCTGGTAGGTAAACTAAGCTAAATTTCTTGAGACTTAAAGGGGGGTGGCACGATCTTCGGTTCGCGCCAAAGTAAAAATAGTATTTTCAAACCCAGCATCTCGCACCGTTTGTGTGACAATGGAAAAGCGATCAGACTCGTCTAAAACGTAGACTGTGATAAACGTAACCGAATAACCCAGTAGGACTTTCAAAAGTCTAAAACGTACACTGGGGTAAACGCAACCAAACAACCCACTGGGACTCCGAAAGGGGTATAAAAGTTAGTCCAAAATTCGCTTCCCATCCCCACTCGAATAGCCCACCACAATCGTTCAAGTACTCTTCACTAACTTTCATTATGCATTTTAAACTCTCTTTTGTTGCCACTCTCGTTACTCTTGCAGTCGCTATCCCAGTTCCCCATATTCGCCCACCCCCGGCCCCAGCCCCCCCTTCTCTCCCTCTCCCTGGGCCGACTCCGGCTCCGGTGAGTCTCTCTCTCCCCGATCTCTTTATCCGCGGCCACTGTGATCTTTCTGGCATCGCTAATCCTGCACTTGTGGGTGCTGGTCGCGGTGTAGCGGGAATAATTCGCCCTACTGCCCTCCTCGACACACTATCATCAATGTTGTTCAGTCTGGTCGGTCATTTGGCAACCCATGTTGCACAAGGCGGTGGAGTCGCTATTGCCGACCTTGCCCCTGTGCACGGTAAGCAGCGACGACGACGACAGAGACGACGACAACGGCGTTGCAAGTCTCACTGCGCCCGTAATTAAGCCCCTAACTACGAGCGTTGGTCGCAGTATAGCGGGTTCAGTGCCGGGGACAAGTCAAACTGCTGATCTCCTGGCCGCAGCGATAGACGCGCTTGTACAGAATCTCGATGATGTTGCAGCCGACACTGAACAAGGCACTGGAGTCGCTGCTGCTAACGCTGCCCTTGCCATGGTTGACACACTCCACGCTAGTATCCCCCGCCAGGTCGCTCCCACTGTTTACTACACCTGTACGTCCAGTGTCTCGCTAATGTACTGCGACGTGGATTTGGCCGGCAATCTGGATGAGGCTTGTAGGCTTCTTATCCCTGGAGAAGCCTGGTAAGCTATCTCATTCTGCTGTACTCGTCATGCTTGAGCCTCATTGAGCATGTTAATAATTTCAGAACTTCGTTACTGACTTGCTCTCCGTAGATCCTGTCGCGAGATCCTGCGCTTCGGGTTGGAGAAGTCCCGACATCTTATGCTCCGGGATAAGTATATGGAGCAGTCTTCTTCCTTTCGCTTTTCTTTATTCCTAAAGGATAATCGTTTATTTTCTCTCGCTACATCTATTTACCATGCTGGCATATTTAACTTAGACTATTTACGACTTGCACCCCAGTTAATTCACTCGACGTGATCCTGGGGTGCGTATTTCTCTTACTTACTTGTTAGCTAGTTTACTAACGACTACTCCTATTAGATATGTACTTACTAGTTTAAAGGTATTGTCTATTTTCCTAATACAGAGTTATTTCACTCGACTCGACGTGATCCTGGGATATCGTACTTGCTAGTTTACAGATCCCTCCTTCAACTTCCAGTGTGTTGCTTCTGTTCCTCTCACGGACTACGAGTAGGGCTCCAGCTTTACTGCTAGTATCAAAAGTACCAGTCCATCGATATTGGTCCATTTTCTTTGCTGTTGGGAATTAAGTTCAGATTCCCGGAAAGTGTCTGTTTTGTTGGTTTGCCCTTGTACGTAGGCTGAAATTTAGGCAAGATTGATTAGAAAATCAGTAAAATAATTAAATGAATGTTTTGTGTTACTGTGTATGAAGGCCAACTTATCGTTTGGCGGTGGCTACTATCCAGTGGGATACTTATAGTAAGTAAGTTGTATACATCGACACAGGTATTGAAGGGTAGTATTGAAGCTTGGCATTCAAAAGAGACAACTAAACCTCTGTCTTTAATCAACGTTTCGACGTTCCACTATGACACTCTCAATTTCTGAACAGTCTCCACGGACATAAACCATAAGCCTTTCTGAATCGGTATTTTCTAATTTGACTATTACCCCATTTGCGAGCGCTAGTTATCACTATTACATAACATTGTTACTTCTCCAGTTCTCTTCGACGTGTTGCTCGACCACAAACATTATGCCTGCTGGAGCATGTACACTGCTATTCTGGAGATCCGTCCATCTGCATCAGCGCTCAGCTACCAGCTCGGTTTATCGACTATCTTCAACAAGGTGCTTTATTCCCTAGAGTTGGCTATTAGTATATCTAGATGGGAGATGGAAAAAGCGGAAAAATCGCGTACAAGACGAAAGTGAGCCGTGGCATCGTTCCGAAATCCCCGGTTCCCATAACCTTTGATTTTGAAGCATTGAATACTTCAAAGCTTCTGGAAGCTTCAAGCACTCAAGTCAACCTTGTTGCATACAGCCATATATCGAGTCTCTGAATCCCGCATCCTCTCTCCTTCACCTCGAGCCTTGCTTTCAATCCTCTTTCTAGATTTCCAGATCTGGCTAGCTGCCTACTCAGCCTACTCGTTCTGTCCACTTGCTTCTTCGGGCATTGATTGAAAAAAGGTAACACTGACTCCTGAGATACCGTGTTAAAACATTAACCAACATCAACATCAGCGGCGAGAATCGGGTTCGAACCGAAAACCTTTCGCAGACCCAAGAAGCCAAGGGAAGCGAACGTGAAACCACTATACCATACGCCCTTGGGATATACAGTGCTGAAGCAGAAGAAAAATAGTAAAGAGAAGGTAAGGCATAGTGATCAGTGATGAGCATGTGGCTTTGGTGCGAGTCCTTGAGTCGTTCAGCAATGTCGAGAGGTAACGGAGGCAACTCTGAAGTGAGTAGATAAAAAACAGCTCCCAACCACGGAACATTGGACACATCCGGATTTGAACCGGAGACTTTTCGCAAGCAAATACTGTAGAGCCACTATGTCAAGCGAACGAGACTGGCTATATTTCGAAAAACAGACAATTGACCTCTCTGATTGACCTTTCTAGTACCATACCGCGACCATCCTGGTCCCTCTGTGCGAATAACTATACATGCCAGTTTTACTCTTTTGCCCAATACTGCATAGAGCACTGTGTGGATCGCTACCAATAGTGAATCGCCGAATTCAGCCGTCTCCTTCGAACCCCGATGGTGCCAAGATGGCGCACCATTGTACAGGAAAGACTGTTGCCCGGCCGGGTACGATGAGGCATAGCACTATCATGGTGTTCCTACTTTTTTAAAACCATATTGCACACAGGGACGTCATTCATTCAACTCAATGTTTCGCAAATAAAGCCATTTGGATGTGAAACCCCTACACTATAGTAGGTACGGCGAGTTGTACAAGTCATAAACACTTTAACAAACTGGTAAGCTTATAGCACTTTTCTGAGGCTTCGTGCGTGTTCTTAAAAAAGAAATTGAATGGCGTCGAGGCGTAACCCCATCACTAGCAAGTAAGTGGGTAAGAAAAATGAATCCAATGCCTACTGTATGATTGGACAAATCCGGATTTGAACTGGAGACCTTTCGCAACTACATTCTGGCCCCAACAGAGTCAGCCAGTGCAAAGCGGCCTATTAAACCCCTACACGATATGTCCAATAAACTCTGTGGTGTAAAATTTTGAATAAGTGAGGAGCAAGCTTGGTCGCTATACTTCTGAAAGAGACCACTAAAACCCTCACTTGAAGTACAGAAATTGACATCCTCTGTTTGACTTTTTTTCCTACTACAACTTGAATCCAACTTGAATCTTGGCTACAATAAAACTACAATACTGCAACGTCGCGGGCTAGGTGATTTTGCCGTGCAGCCGGTGCGTGGTGCGTGCGGCGCGTGCACGTCCCTACTGGTGCGTGTCACATGGTGCGTGCATATGTATATTACGAAGTCAGTTTTGATTATAAAGTCAGTACTACCGCTGTAATTTCTATCAGTTTCTGGCAATCGTTACATATGTATATTATGAAGTCATTTTTGGCTATGAACTTAGCCAATAGCGCTGTATTTGTACCAGTTTTCGGCCATTGTCAAGCTCCCAATGAAGTCTGTTACTGTAATTTTACACAAATTCTACATAATAGTACGTTTTGGATAGATTGTGAATAGAAAATTAGCAATCTCATTACACGCATCTCGTACACTGGCACGCACCCGCATCACTGACACGCACCAGGCACGCACCCGTGCACGCACTCCCGCACCACCGGCACGCACCCCGCATCAGTTTGTGGGGTGCGTGCAAGGTGCGTGCAAGGGTGCGTGCCGCTAATGTCAGGTGCGTGCAGGTGCGTGACTCGGTGCGTGCAGGTGCGTGCAGTGAGCGACTTATCGGGGACCGAATTTTTGCCATCGGGAGCCGGTCAACACGTCTCATTTAAGATTTATTTGATGCGGTTACTGGGCACAATCGACCCAGCGGGCGTGAAAAATTATTCGGTTTTCCTTCAGTCCAGCATCTCGATTCTCTTCTATGTAAATGTATTCTGGCCCGCCTCCATGGCTAGGCACTCGAGTCAAAGTCATATCTGGCCATTATAAGTCACATTGGGGAATAGTGAGGGATGTAAACCGCTGGGTGGCCAGTGTCAGTGGTTTGCATCTCACATTAGAGATAATGGCATGGACGTCTCAAGGAGTCAACCCACAGGTCAGAGTTGACTATGATTATGTCCGGGAACCACAGTTTGTGAACACTTCTAATTTTATATACGCTACTTACTGGTTTTCGCTCAGAAATTGGAGAACCCTCATTGAAGTTGCACCTTTACAACCCTCACAAATGTTCTATCAGCTCCGACCTGATGCCCAGGTGCTCCTGGGGAACACCTGGGGAACACCTGGGCAAACCTGGGAAAACCTAGGCTTGCCCTGGGTTTGCCTAGGATACCCTAGGGAATCCTCAAGAGCCTTGACTGGCAAGGGACGAGCCCAAATTCCTAGGATGCCATAGGATTCATAGGTCACCTAGTTTGCTTTAGGCCACTCTGGGGTCACCTAGGCAAAAATGGCTTTTCCTGATGTACAGTATCCCGTAATGAGGTTGTATTTGTGAAAGAGGGGAAAGGTATGAGCCAGTATGGCTTCAGATTAGCATCACAACTCGATAAGGAGTTAAAGCATTTATGTCAGTAGTTATAAGGTCTTGATGTATACAGTTTTATTGTCTTCTCTGGCTTTGATGAGCTGCTATTCTCTGCAAACCATTATATTTGTTACATGAGCATACATAGAACAAGTTGTACAAAGGAAAACTTGTAATACTACTGCTGAAATAGTGATGAAATAAATATGAATAGGATAGATAAGGCCCAGGCCACTGACCCAGAACCCTAGCAACTCCTTGAGAGAATACAAGGGACAAGCTGGACAAAGGAAAACTTGTAATACTACCGCTGCACTCAAGTTTTTAACTACAAAAAATAACAGATGAAATAAATATGAAATAGACAAGCAACTATCTACAAGAGACAAGTTGGACAAAGGAAAACTTGTAATACTACCCTTGCGCTCATGTCCTTAACTACAAGAAATAGGAGATGAAATAAATAGGAGATATAAGACCTGGGCCGCAGGGGTGCAGAATCCAGTGCATCAGCCATAGGAAAGGAGAATAGTGATGCAAGTTGTACACTGAACCCTGACCATCAGTGACTAACAAGAGGGTGAAGTACAATTTTTTTCACTTACTGACTAGACATGTTTTCTTGGGTCACAACTAACTTTTCTTTGGTCTGGGCTTTGGACGTGGTTTTGCACTAGACTGAAGTACACAATGGGTGATGAAGTGATTGGCGGTCTCGCTGTGAAACACTCGAGCTGTAATATCATAAACCACCCCATTTTTGGTTCCTTCATAGATTGTCAAGGGATAGATGTGCCGTGGGAAATCCCATTGACCTGAGAGTGAATACATGTTGGGCTCAAGGGTAAGGACAACTGGGAGAGAAACAAGATATTCCATAGTAGCAGAGGTACCCTTGCAGTACTGTTCCCCTTCACTAGGATTTTTGCGATAACAAGCAGGTTGAGAAGTGCCTTTTGCAACTGTCTTGACAGTAGTCAGAGATTTGAACCATTTAGTGATGCTGCCTTCAAATTCTGCATAGAGATGAGGGGAAGGGGCCTGGTACACCGCTGAAAGAGTGTGCAAACGTTCAACACGAACATGCTGGATCACAGACTGTGATTGGCATATCCACACCCTAAGAAGCCTTCCTGAAAAATAACTCCTACATCTGTCATTTGTTGGAAAATCTGTCCAGGAGCAACAATTGATGCAAACCAAGCCTATAGATATAGAAAGGGCTGGTCAACAAAACCCAATGGCTTGCCTAGATCACAGAGTAAAGTGCTTACAAAAGCGGGTTGTGTAGTGTCAATTGGTCCTAAATTTGTCACCATTTTAGTGGTGAACAGAAATTGGCGGAAACTACCACGCAAGTTATTGAGCTCCAGAGAGTTAGTCTTGGAAGTGGAAGGGGGAAATTCAGTGATTGGACGCAGCCTACGAGCCTGCAGGCAGAGATAGAGATAGTAGAGAGGGTTTGGAAAGGACTGGTTCTCAAACTCAAATAGAGCTTCAAACTCGGTCCAAGACCAATAGTTGAGCACACAATACAATGCCTCTAGACTTGAGTCCAGCCAGCATGAGTTCTGACTCCAGGGATAGCTTGGAATCTCAATGTGGATTTTTGTGTCAAAAACCTCGAGATTATGCTCCCGATTGATGTGCTTTGAAGGGGACATATTCTCAAAGTGTTTCTGGGTAGCTTTTTTCTCTTGGTCCACAGTAGGAGCTTTGGTTGGAGATTTATTAGGAGAGTTAGACCTGGATGATCTGATAGAATCTGAGTCTGAGGATACAACCTTGTGGCGGCGACGATGTTTTGGGGGAGGGGGGTGATCAGAGTCATCAGAATTATATCTAGTGTCGGGTTCTGGACGTTTTGGGGGCAGAGGGTGATCAGAGTTAAGTTTGGTGTCTAGATTCTGATTTTTGGAAGCCAATTTTCTGTGGTGGCGAAAAGCACGAAGATCATCTGGTGCCCTCCCTTCACGACGGCCTCCATTACCTTTCCGAGAAGGGTGCCCAGGTTTCCGACTAGCTTTAGTCCATCCATGAATCTTGACTTGCTCATTCTGATATGCTAGTGCAGATTGCTTTGAGTAATGATTTGGTATGCCAACTGTTAACATGCATGATTTTTTCTCAGAAAAGTTATGAAGGAAAAAACATACTCCGGGAATTGTCCCACATCCCGTGGTGATACTTCTCAACTTGAAGAAGGCCATCAAGCCCTGGTATCAGGTCATGGAACTGCCCAACCAATTTATAGATCTTTGCATGCATAGACTCCTCTGGATTAGTAGTACTTGGTAGAAGAGCAACTCGTTCCGCCGACATAACACGCTGAGAAGAGAAGATCATCTGTGCGATCTCTGGGCGAGTCCACCATGTGAGCCAGGGTGTGATTTTCCAGTGATTCTGCATGTAGGAGACTTTTTCTGAATATTCTTCTGGCTCTTCAATGTGCATAAGTGCGTGTGCACATTTGATGAAATCAGTGCGGGTTTCTGGAGAAATGATTCCAGCTGAATGGCTAACTCGTTCAACTGATTTGAGGTAGTGATATTCGCAACCACGCAGCAGAGCAGTAGCTGCGGTTTCAAGTTCCTCTCTTGTGCGCAGATCATCCTCACACTGTAGCCAAAAATCAACATATGCAAGTATAAATCCGGCTCGTTGTGGATCACTAAAATCAACAACCTAAAGAATAGTATCCAGTGAGATATTCAGTGATTCATTTTTTGAATAAAATTTTTACCCACCATTTCAAACATGGTATCAACAATCTTTTTCTTTTTGCTGGCAGCAGCTTCAGCAATGCTTTCAAAAACACCCTTGAAGTGATAACGATAATGTTCCGCAGATGTTCCATCAGAGTATGTGAAGAGGCCAGGAACCCAGAACTGAAGTTCCTCAGAGAAGACAGAAGTGATGACAAGAACCAGTGATGATTCTGACCAATATCCATGTGCGCCATCAGAAACAAGTCCATGTACTGGAAGAGAAGTGGAGAGATCTGGTGCCAACATGTCCCGCATCCATTCAGTTTGAACAGAGACAATTGAGACCTTGTCATTGGTGACTGCAGTCCGCACAACACCAGGGTGCTGCTGTTGCCATCTGGAGAACTGCGCAAGGAATGAATGACCGCCTTGAACTTTTGATTTGACATGACGGCGGCGATGAGCAACATATGCTGGATTGCGACCTGCTGCACCAATATCTGCTGCTCCCAATCCATAACCACTCAGAGTCTTTGGTCCAATCATGAGTGCTGCTGGACCAAGTGTAGGATGTGAATTAACAAGTGCATCAAACTGTTCATCCTCCTGTTTACTGAAGTGAATAGCATGTGGAATGCGAGTGTGATTATGTGCACTACCGTTGACATACCGATATCTGGCGGTAGATTCATCATCGCCAAGCTGACCCCAGCTGACCAGGTAAGATCGGGAGGAACAAGTGATATGCTCGAGCGAGGAACCGCACTCGCAGCTTTCCACTAACTGATGCTGTCGAAGTGCTTCAGACTTTGTGTGGGGGCGAGTGATGATGCTGCATTCTGGATTTACACAGCGAATGACACCAAGACAAGCTTTTGAACTGATCTTCCCACCGGACAGATCAGTAGAATTTCTACTCCCTTTACGATCACCGCCGTTGTTTCTTGTAGCCCAATGTACTTGGAGATCCTTGGTGTGTTTGTACTGATCATAAGTTAGATCTAGTGCAAAAGGGCCCGATGGCCACCCATCCCATCCTGATGCAAGATTTTCCAAACAGGTAAACTCCACTCCAAAATCAGAGAGATTGCGGAGTTCAGCTCTGGGCTGGGAGCTCAGTGGAGTATATACAGTGATTGGGGCTGGATCACTAAGATCAAATGGTACCCACTTGGAGAAATCATGAGGTTGGGAAGGTGGATAGGAAGAAGGAGGGGGAGGTTGTGTTTTCTGAATGAACTGAGAGGCATAAGGCAGACCTGGAACAGGGACAAAGTTGCCATGTAGGTCACGAGTGTAAAGACTGTGAGATGGTAGTGGTTGGATTCTAGGGACAGTTGGACTTTTCAGAGAGGTTTGTTTTGCTTCAGTGTAGCCAACAATGACACCTAACTAGGAGTAAGTAAAACAACTAGACTGAAGGAAGGACGTGCATTTACCATTCCTGTAGATTGGGAGTATGTTCAGTAGACCCCCAGTGTCATGAGGATGTTTTTTGCCGTTGGATTTTGGATCTTCATCATCACTTGAATCCGCAAACAAAGATACCACAGCATTGAAGCCATGTCTGAATGCCTTTTTTGTACGACGCTATTGTGCATCGTTTGTTAAAAAACACTAACTACAGTTATTCACCGAGACTTACAAACCAACCCATAGTTTAACTTATGATTATACTTAAGGTTAGAATCGAGGAGGCGGGTCGGAAAGCTGCTCGGGGCATTTCACGTCGACTTTATACAAAATTCAAAACCCATCAATTTCTTTTGCAAATTCGATGCAGCGACACGGCGCACAAATGTGTCGCCAACTTTTTTACTACATTCTAATTGATGCTTCGTTGAAGAACTTATGAAACGCTATCCTATGTAAAAACTACAGGTATAATTTAAAATAAAGAGTGAGATACTTACTCACACGTCGGCCAAAGATGTTTGGACATCCTACGCAACGGCCCTGTCAATCCCGTGCGCCATCACGCACTGGCTGTGCACGATCCGGTCAACACGCACGCACGCACGCACGCACCACGCACTGCACGCACCTCGCAACTTGCACGCATCACGCACTCCGCACGCACCATGCACCACGCACCTAGCACGCACCACGCACTGGGTGCACGGCAAAATGTATGTGCTGCAACGTCGCTGAGTAATTGTGTTTTTGGCAAGCAAAAATTGTGACCTGTTCACATTTCTGGGTGATGGACAAGTCGGGACTCGAACCGGGAGAGTTGAGCCTTTTGCAAAGCATGCTTCTCACAATGGCGGTGCCTGCAGAGGACCTCTACGCCATATGCCATTGCCCAATGTAGTTTCGTCATAGTGTAAAAGGTGAGGATGACAACGTGCGAGTCTCGAGAGGCTCGGTGGTACTTGAATAGCAAACGAGCGGGCGGAGTTCTGTTTGAAGGATACTCAGATCTCAGAGAGGCAAAAAAACCAACATATTCATTCAGTGGACAAATCCGGATTTGAACCGGAGACCTTTCGCAAGCAGAGATGTGAAATATTCTATGATGCAAAGCGAACGTGATAACCCCTACACCATATGCCCAATACCTTTAGTAGGTTGGGTCTTGGGCTATAAAAAGAGAAGTAAACCTCTGACTTTGCTCGACGTTCCAAATATCTCACTGCGGCCACCAGGCTCTCAGTTTCTTCCACACTATCTGAATCGGTATTTTCTAGTTTGAACTATTACCTTATATGGAAAACGTTGCCCGTGAGCGCTAGTTATCGCTATTACATAACATAGTTGCACACGTTCCTCTTGTTCTCCTCAGCGTATTGCTCGACCACAAACGTTATACCTGCTAGGGAGGAGCAAGTACAACTGCTTATTAATATTCTGGTGATACGTCCATCTACATCAGCTGCCAGCTCGGTTCATCGACGATCTTTCTTCAAGGTGCTTTATTCCCTGGATAATACTCGACCATTTGCTCGACTATTGGGTTAGATCACGGGAGATGGAAAGAGCAGCAGAATCGCGTACAGGACGAAAGTGAGCCCAGTTTCTGTTTGATTTGAAGCATCAAACACTCCAATGCTTCTGCTCGCAAGCACGCACGCTCAAGTCCACTTGTTGATACAGGCATATATCGAGTCTCTGAATCCAGCGTCCTCTCTCTTGAGCTTGCACCCCGAGCCTTGCTAGTGCTTTCAATTCTTTTTCTAGATTCCCAGACCTGGCTAGTGGCTACTCGACCTACTCGTTCAGTCCACTTGCTTCTCCCGGCATTCTATTATCTGAATGGCGAGTGCCCGCCGCTGTGGCGGCTTGGAAATGGTGCTCGATTGGATATAGTTCAGGTTCTGACACATGATGCATGATGACTCTACTGGCTCTCCCAAGAAACACCCGTGTTCCTGCATCGACGAGATTTACGGACCATACGGCCATGATTACGCTCAAAGAGAGTGTTTACAGGGACGTATATGTATACGGTATCCTGAACCGTCTCCCTTGTCGCCCACTCCTACTCTCCTTTGTTCCTCGACTTTTTCCATGTTGTTCCTAAACACTTATATACCCGAAAACTTGGTCCCAGCGTTGATCGTATGTTGATGTTGATGTTGAACACGGATAATCTTGAACCAGAGGGTTAATCAAAATTCATCTAAGAATGGGAAGGTGGCGCTGGCAGTATAGAAAGCTTTGGTCCGAGGATGTTGACTTCTACGTTGACGTGAATACTTGTCCGATTTCGTTGTTTAGCGTTCGGTTGAGCTCTTTCGCGCTTTTTCCTTCCCTTTGACTTCCAATCCATCTTCAGGTATTTTTCTCTTAATTCCGAAGCATTTCCGTCCCGTTGATTTTAGCAATTGGTGTACAAGAATGGGACGCCACCATGACTCCGTGACCAGGGAAACGCAAGGGCTTAACGTTCAACTTTGATCTATGTGTTGCTGTGGTCTCTGTTGTCTCCAAGGCCTCAATTCGCCCATCAAGAATGGATCGCCGTTCACTGCTGCTTTGTTAACTCCATACCCGACTTCGCTCGTGTGTTTCTTCCATTTCCGTAGTGTCTACCTTTGTTGCGCCTCGTTTTACCTACTGCCTGGAGAGTCGTGCACATCGATTGAGGATATAACACTATTCATAGGTCTCGAGCCTCCGAGAACGGCCTAAAAGTTAAGCCCCAGTTATGCATGGAACATCTGAGCTGGGGATGAAGGTTGCTGCTACTGTCACTTCCATGGTTCGTGCTAGTGCTATTCCTGGTGGTGCTGCGTAAAGCGACACGAAGACAACGAAGTGAGTAAGTAAAAAAAATAATAGAAATATCACTCTCGCACTTGCTGACTTCGCATGGACAGACCCAGGTTTGAACTGGGGACCACGCAAACCTTGCAACTACTACTCATGCAAAGCAATCGTAGCCTGTAACCTCTACACTATACGCCCGGTATGTTGAACCTGGTCTTGAGCTATATTCCACAAAAAAGAGACCTATGTATATTATTGACGTGTTTTGGATATCTAATATTCACAGACTGGAGACATCTGCTTCTGCCTGATTGGTCTTGCATCAACTCAAAAGAGCAATCCAAGTTGTGACCTCGGAACATCAGAGCTGAGAGCTCCTGTTGTGCCTTGTCGAAGACATTCGAGCTTCGCTTGATGCTAAAAATATCATATCACTGGCATGGTACTTGACCAGATTGTAACAATTCAAGAGTATGTAGCCGAATTTGACTTCCTTCTTTTGAATTTTTGAATCTTGTTTGAAATTCGCTCTACTTAAGTCCGCTCAGCTTTCGCTCTAAAGCCACTCAGTACTATTCATCTAGCCATGATAGCCCATGCGCTACGTACAAAGCCTTCGTTCAAATTGGGTAACATTGATATGGAGAGTGGGATTGTGTACTAAAATTCCTGGCAACCTGAAGTCGAATAGCGCAGTCTTCGCTTCAATTTGGTTCATCCCAAAGTTATAAATAGTCGTGCCGGCATCTCGAAGTAGGATGTTCGGATGTATCGTGTGACGTTGAAGGAGTTTTGGGCGTGGTTATAGCAGCTAACTTATTTCTTGGACGTCATCCAGGCTTACGTCGAGGAGGCATCAGCACTTCTGAGAGGCTGACCAGCCATTGAGCTCCAAATTCTGCCCCATTATACCCTCTTCCACCTGATTCCTTTGGTTCCATACGCCGTTGACTAGATGAAGAAGCTTGAACGGGTATGCTCAGGTATGTGCTCTGAATTCTGATTTTCGTGTATTTTTTGGGGCGATTCCTGGTGACTAGATTGATTATTTTGGTTCATTATGGTTATAAAAGTAAGACAACCCTATTTGAGCATGAATAACGCGTAAAATGAAGCTAAACGAACGGGATTGTTGAGAGGAACGCGGAAGTAAATTGGTACGCGTGACCGTGGCCGTAGCAGATTCCATCCGTAGGGATTGTCAGTGTGTAACGAGTCTGCTTGGGGGAGACTAATCTCAAAGCCCATGGGACCCTGGCTGTGCACCAAAGAAAGGGGTATAACAGCTGTCCCAAAAGCTGCTCTACTTCACTTTCTCGCTAACATTTTAATATTTGGATCTTCCCTTGTCCATCCAGTAGGATGCCTTTGTCCAGGATGGGCAATATGTATAATTACACAAATGGATAGTGGCATCTTGTTGACAAACTAAGCTAAATATTTTGAGACTTAAAGGGGGATGGCACGATCTTCGGACCTCGGTTCACGCCACAGTAAAAACAGGAAGAATAATATTTTCAAACCCGGCATCGTTCGTGTGACAAAGGAAAAGCGATCCGATCCGACTCCTAGTTGGTAGACTGGATAATTGCAGCTGAACAACAGATTAGGACGTCGAAAGGGGTATAAAGCTGGTCCAAAATATGCTTCACTTCCCCACTCGAACAGCCCACCGCAATCGTTCAAGTACTCTCCACTCTCTTTCGTTATGTACTTTAAACTCGCTTTTGTTTTCACTCTCGTTACTCTTGCGATCGCCATCCCAGCTCCCCATATCCGCTCACCCCTGGCCCCAGCCCCCCCCCCCCCCTTCTCTCCTTCTCCCTGGGCCTATTCCCTCTCCACATGGTCTCCCTCCCCCCGATCTCTTTCTCCACGCCCGCAGTAATGTCTCTGGTATCGGTAATCCTGCACTTGTGGGCGCTGGTCGCGGTGTAGCGGGTTCAGCGAAGAGAATAGTCCGTGTTACTGCCCTCCTTGGCACGCTATCATCGGTGTTGTTCGGTCTGGTCGGTCATTTGGCAGCCCATGTTGCACAAGGCGGTGGGGTCTCTACTACTAGCCTTGCTCCTGTGGTCCAGAAGACTATCAAAAGTATTCAACACAATCACGGTCCTGTCGGTGACGTAGCCCGCATAATCGGCGGTCGCTCTGTTTCCGACACCTGTACGTCCGGTGTTTCGCTAATGTGCTGTGACGTGGATTCGGCCGGCAATCTGGGCGGGGCTTGTACACTTCCTATCCCTGGAGAAGAAGCCTGGTAAGCCAACTCGTTCTGCTGTACTTGTCAAGCTTGAGCCTTATTGTGGTCTTCATAGCGCCCTGAGCCAAGCTTTGTGTTGTGATTCTGACGGTAACATGAAGCATGTTAATAATTTAAGAACTTTGTTACTGACTTGAGCTCTTTAGATCCCTCCTTCGACTTTCAATGTCATATTCCTGCTACTCCCCTCACGGACGACGAGTAGGACACCAGCTTTACTACTACTATCGAAAGTACCAGCCCATCGATAGTGGTCTATTTGCTGTTATTACTTCCGTTGGGAATTAAATAAGTTCACCTTGCAGATTCCCAGAAAGTGTCTGTTTTGTTAGTTTTGCCGTTGTATGTAGGCTTGAATGTTGGGAAGATTGTTTAGAAAATCACTAAAATAATTATTTAAATGGATGTTTTCAAGTGTTACTGTGTTTATGAAGGCCAGATCGTTTGGTGGCTACTATCCAGTGGGATATTATTAAAAGGAAGCTTGGCATTCAAATTTCAAAGAGGCCACCAAGCCTCTGGCTTTGATCAACGTTCCTACGTCCCACTATGACACTGTGGCCACCCTCTCAGTTTCTTTCGCATTGGTATCCTCGACTTACTTAATTTGAACTATTACCTTATATGTAGGAAGCGAACGTGAAACCCCTACACCATACGCCCTTGAACTGTACATATATGTAGTGTTGAAAAACAGTAAAGAGAAGGTAAGGCATACTGATCAGTGATGAGCATGGCTTTGGTGTGAGTCCTTGAGTTGTTCAGCAAATTGCAACGTCGAGGTGTAACAAGGGCAACTCTGAAGTGAGTAGTATACAAAAAATAGAAGTCGTTGTCTTGAGACATTGGACAAATCCAGATTTGAACCGGAGACCTTTCGCAAGCAAATACCGTAAGCACTATGCAAAGCGAACAAGATAATCCCTGCGCCATATGCCTGATATATCTAGGCGGCGAGGTTCTGGATTAGATTCGGAGAAGAGACGGCCGGAATTGACCCCCTCTCACCAATCTTTCTAGGAAAATACCACGACCATCCTGGTCCCTCTTTGCGAATAAGTATACTTAGTAGACGTTGATAAGATGCTTTAAACTTTGAAACATCATATCAAACTTTGATCAGATCGTTAACAATTCAAAAAAATTCACTGCGTTGGAGCGAAATTCAGCCTTGGGACCCATGCAGTAACTTGAAGCCCACTGAAGACTTCGTTCAAACTGGGCAACATTGCATATAGAAACTGGGATTGTGTAGGCTAAATAAGCTAAATTCCTCGCCACTTGAAGCCGAATAACGCAATCTTTGCTTCAATTTGGTTCATCCAAAGTGGTAAAAATAGCCATACCAGCATCTCGAAGCCCATGGGACCCTGATCGTGCACCAAAGAAAGGGGTATAACGGCTGCCCCAAAGCTGTTTCACTTTCTCGCAAACATTTTAATAGTTGGATCTTCTCTGGTCCATCCAGCCTTAGTGTGTTCTGAGACGCCTTTGTTCAGAATGGGCAATACGTATACTACTTACACGAATAGATAGTTGGATCAAGTTGTAGGAAAACTAGGCTAAATTTCTCGAGACTTAAAGGGGGATGGCGCGATCTTCGGTTCACGCCACAGTCAAAACAGTAAGATTAATATTTTCAAGCCCAGCATCTCGTACAATTCATGTGACAAAGAAAATAATAATCCGACTAGTCTAAAATGTAGACTGGGATAAACGCAACCGAGAAGCCTATTCGGACTTCGAGGGGGGTATAAAAGCTCGTCCAAAATCTGCTTCACTTCCCCACTCGAACAGCCCACCACAATCGTTCAAGTACTCTCACTCACTTTCGTTATGCACTTTAAACTCGCTTTTGTCGCCACTCTCGTTACTCTTGCGTTCGCTATCCCAGCTCCGCAAATCAGCCCATCCCAGGCCACAGCCCCCTCTTCTCTCCTTCTCCCTGGACCTACTCCCGCTCCGCCGGGTCTCCCTCTCCCCTCTCCTTTTTCCACGACGGAGACCCCGACGACGAAGACCCCGACGGAGACCTCGACGACCTCAAAGATCTCAACAATCTCACTAAGCCCGCAGTTATGGGTGTCGGTAATCCCTTATTGACGGGCGCTGGTCGCGGTATAGCGGGTTCAGCAAAGGGAATAGTTGTCGCTAATCAACTCCTTGGCACGCTATCATCGGTGTTGTTCGGTCTGCTCGGTCGTTTGGCAGCCCATGTTGCACAAGGCGGTGGGGTCGCTGTTGCTAACCTTGCTCCTGTGGTCCAGAAGACTATCAAAAGAATTCAACACAATCACGGTCCTGTCGGTGACGTAGCCCGCGTAATCGGCGGTCGCTCTGTTTCCTACACCTGTACGTCCGGCGTCTCACTAATGTGCTGCAACGTGGATTCGGCCGGCAATTTGGGCGAGGCTTGTATGCTTCCTATCCCTGGAGAAGCCTGGTAAGCCATCTCGTTCTGCTGTACTTGTCAAGCTTGAGCCTCATTGTGGTCTTCATAGCGTTGCCCCGAGCCAAGCTCAGTTGTGTTGTGATTCTGACGGTAACACGAAGCATGTTGATAATTTAAGAACTTCGTTACTAACTTGAGCTCTGTAGATCCCTCCTTCGACTTTCAATGTATTGCCCCTACTCCTCTCACGGACGTCGAGTAGGGCTCCGACTTTGTTGCTTCTAGTGTCGAAAGTGCCACTGGCCCATCGATATTGGTCTGTTTGCTGTTATAACTTCATTATCATTCAATTATTGGAATTGGAAATTAGGCTCAGATTCCCGGAAAGTGTCTGTTTTGTTAGTTTGCCCTTGTACATAGGCTTGAGTCTAGGGAAGATTGGTTAGAAAATCACTATAATTAAATGAATGTTTTGTGTCGCTGTGCGTGAAGGCCATATCGTTTGGTGGTGATACTTATTATAAGTAGTAGTACACATGGACACAAGTATTGAAGCTTGAAGCTTGGCATTCAAAAGAGACAACTAAACCTCTGCCTTGCCAGTGATCAACGTTTCGACGTTCCACTACGACACTGCGCAGTTTCTTTCACATTATATGAATCGGTATTCTCTAATATGAACTATTACCTTATATGGAAAGCGCTGCCGCCTTTTACGAGCGCTAGTAATTTTTTGTAATTTTTTTTTCTTTCATATTACATAACATGTTGCAAGCACTTCTGTTCTCCTCAATGTGTTGCTCGACCACAAATGTTATGCCTAGTACACTGCCTATTCTGATGATCCTTCCATCTGCATCAAATGCCCGCTCGCTTCGTCGACGATCTTTCTGCAGGACAAGGTGCTTTATTCTCTGGACCCAGGAGAATACGCGACAACTTTCTCGACTACTGGGTAGCCTATAGGAGATGGAAAGAGTGGAAAAATTGCGTACGGGACGAAAGTAAGCCATGGCATTGTTCTAAACTCATCCCTTCTGCCCAGAAACTCTCCGTTTCATTGAACACTTCAAGCTTCAAGCTTCAAGCGTCAATGCATAATGCTTCAAGTCTACTTGTTGATACAGGCATATATCGAGTCTCGGAATCCCGCATCCTCTCTCTTGCACTTCGAGCCTTGCTTTCAGCACTTTTTCTAGATCTCCAGGCCTGCTCACTCGATCTACTCGTTCAATCCGCTTGCTTCTTCTGGCATTCCATTATCCAAACTACGAGTTTTCACCGCTGTGGCGGCTTGTAAATGGCGCTCTTGGATGTAGTTTGGGCTCTGATGACTCTACAGGCTCTCCCAAGAAACAATTGACGACCTTTACGGGCAATATGGCCATGATTACTCAAAGAGTGTTTACAGGGACGTATATATATACGTATCCTGAACCGTCTCCCTTGTTGCCCACTCCTACTCTCCTTTATTCCTCGACCTTGTCTATGTTGTTTCTAAACAGTCATATATCCAAAAACTTGGTACCAGCGTTGAACATTGAACGTTGAGCACGGATAATTTTGAAACAGAGGGTTAATCGAAATCCATCTGAGAGTGGGAAGGTCACGGCACTGGCACTATGGAGAGTTTTGGTATGAGGATGTTGCCCTCTGCATTGACGAGAATTCTTGTCCGATGTTCTTTGGCATTCGGCTGAGCTCTCTTTCGCGTTTTTGCCTTGCTTCAAATCCATCTTTAGATATTTTCTTCTTCCATTTCCGACCCGTCAATTTTAGCAATTGGCACACAAAATGGGACCGCCGCCATGACTCTGTGACCAGCTCAACACAAGGGTTTATCAATATAGTTCAACTTTGATCTACGTGTCGCTGCAGTCTCTGTTGTAACCACTGGCTCAATTCGCCCATCGAGAATGGGTTGCCGTTCACTGCTGCTTTGTCAACTCCGTATCAGACTTCCCTCATGTGTTTCTTCCATTTCTGTCGTGATTCGTGCATAGCGGTCGAGGATACATCACTATTCCAAATGGGTCCCGAACCTCCAAGAACGGCTTAAGAGTTAAGCCCGCGTGGAACGTCTGAGCTAGGGGATAAGATTACTGCTGCTGTTGCTTCCACGGCTCGTGCTAGTGGTATTTCTGGTGGTGCTGCGTGAAGCAACGCGAAAACGACGAAGTGAGTTAGTAAAAAAAATAGAAATATTACTTCCTAAACATCTATATCGCATGGGCAGACCCAGATTTGAACTGGGGGGCCGGGGCCAAGCAAACCTCGCAGATACTCATGCAAAGTAAACGTAGTGTCTAACCTCTATGCCATACGCCCGGTATGTTAAACTTGGTCTTGAGTACCCTCTCTATCTACCAGTTTCCAACTTTTCTTTCGCCCCGTACGTAGGCGTGCGGCGAATCTGACCCGAGTTTTTCGATCCTGATATGTATCTATCGCCAGTGGAAAGGGGTGCTGCCTTCTTTACTTCCGCGTCTACCCTTGTGTGTTATGATAGTGTTTGGATGAGGTAGAGTGTTATAGCCTACATTGTTCTAACTCTTGGTTGGCAGTGCATGTTGGATTAATAGGCTGTGTAAGTTCTTCCAACTCGATGTTTCCCAAATACCAGAAGCCATGTGAAGTGAATGTGAAGACCATCTGTGTAGTAAAGTAAGAAGAGGCAGGTACGACAAACTGGTAATAGGTATGATTGGCACCCGCTGTCTGGGTGACGTCGCGGGTAGCCTAGCCAGTGGTGGGTAAAAAAGAGTTTGCATTCGAACATTCAAATTGGACAAATCCGGATTTGAACGGAGAGCTTTCGCAAGCACAACACCGCGAAGGCTGCGTGATAACCCCTATACCATATGCCCAATATCTCCTGAACTGTAAAGTAAGTGAGGTGCAGCTCTTCGGGCAAAAAGAGACAATACTGTTGCGACCGTCCCCTCTGTGAATAAAAACACTTATCGGTTTCGTTCTTTTGCCAAACACAGATTACTTGCAACGTTCAAGGCACGGGGCTACAGTGTATGGCGGCCGAGCTATGGGAGCTTATGGTAAGTTTTCTGAGCTATGGAAGGAGCAAAGAATCTTACTTGGACGCCAAAAGAGGAGCTGTTGGACACGAATGTAGATTGATTCAAATGGAATAAAAGGGCGAAATATCCCAAACGAGCGAAGGGTGCATACAGAACTGATTGTATGCTCTCAGGGTCTCAATGCGCGTCCTGGCCTCTTGATTCTGTCATTCGATTCTGTCACTCAAGTCTCGCCAGAGTTCCGACGTGGACGTCGAATACTATAGTCTATACTTAGTGGAAAACCACATAATGTTGCCCATCTTCATTAACCCTGCATTAACCACATCACTTCCCGATGTCAAAGGCGTAGCAGTGCCATCGGTCCTGCAGATCAATCATCAGAGCGCCATGTTTTTACCATATGGCATATGCCCAAGAAGTGGGGAGAGGCGGAAAGCAAGAACAGATGGATTAAAGATCGTTACTTGTGCGCTGACTACCTGAGGGTATCATCCTGGACTAAGCTTCTGGTATACGCTGAAGGATGATGAGCTCAGAGCCGCCAATCACGATGATATACACATGATGCAACAAGAGCGCCGTCAACCACCCGCGAGATCACCGCACCAAGCGACTCGGATTTACCTATCTACTATAGCCCTATGAGAATCCCGCGTGATACTTGGATAACCGTTGTGGTGGCGACAATTTAAACGTTTATTCATCGGGCTTCCCCTATCTGTCCTGTTAATACCGAAGTTCGGGCAATATGGCCACTGCGTCGGTAACTGGATAAATCTCCAGCCGTGACCGCAGCGCTATCCGATCATCATGGTCTATTTCCCTGAATCATCTCAATCTAGTATTCTCAGATCAAGACGAATGCCAGGTCGAGGGCAGCGCATGGATCATACTCCGTCACCGGACTGATGCACAATGAACAGTTCAAGACGTCGATGTTCAAGTTGAGGCGGCCATGAAGATCGGCAATACAGATCAGAGAGTTATTTGTTGTTGACGAAGGTTATTTTTTTCATAGATACATTCTATTTTAGCATATCACCATAATATCATTTGCTTTGGTTTCATTGACTCATGGGTAGCCATCTTAAGACACCAAGAGCTGATCATGGCAATACCCGGGGGTACATGGTAACGCGGTCACCCTCACATGAAATGTACCATCAATGTTTGGGTTCATTCTTTGCCAATTAAACTCTTCGCAGCTACTAGGCTGTCCTAGTAAGGACCCTTGAATAGGTGCTCTAAGTAATCCACTGCACAAGAATTTACATATATAATACCTTGCTAATTTAATTTCTCCTCACGACGTTCCTCTTGATCTTGTCGGTTTGAATGTCTCCCGAAGAAATACAGCTGGTATCTGCATTAGGCGCGGAAGGGGTGTCCAACATCTTTAATCTAATACTGATTCTCACTGGCTATGGTGGGGAATTAAAGCTTCCGTCAAACCGTAGTTAACCATCAAGTCCTAGGAGCCTTTATTCTAGGATTCATCATTGCTCTTCAATTTCTTACCATGTGCGCACTTATTCAGATTATCTTCCATCGCTCTTATTTTGGTCTAGAGGATCTTGGGGTTGCCAACAGACATGTCTTCTTGTCTGCTTAATAACTACTTTTACTTGTTTCTCCTGGACTGTGATCTATGTTGGAGCAGTATTCTTAGAGGTGGATCGGTCTGCATTCATACAGACGTTAGACCAGGGAGTCACTGCTCAGGCCCTCGTTGCCAACAAGAAGTTTATGACATGGCAAGCTACGTCTAGTTGGCCTGGCCAAATCAACGTGAGTATTATCATTCATCACGGAATATTTCCACTATCAAATTTCAATATTATTCAAACCTGGAACTATGCAGCTGCTTTTGAGTGACAGCATTGTAGTTTGGAGAGCTTCAGCGTTGTACCACCAAAGCAAATTTTGGAGGTTCATTCTTGCAATCCTGATGATTGCCAACATCGGTGCGTAATTATGGTAGGTCTGGCATCTGCATACTGAACTTGAATTTGTGCATGATGAAGGTATAAACTTGGCGGATTGTGGCTGGATTAGCGTGAACGAGAGCATAGAGTTTTCCAAACCTATTATTCTGGACTGGCTTTCGGCTGTATTATCCTTGAACGTCAATATCACCGCAACCATTTTGTTTTCTTATAAAGCTTTGTAGGTCAATTCTCCCAGGTCCAGAAGTGATTTACTCATTTTGGAGAGGTATTACAGGAATCATCACCGATATACAGGAGGGCTCAGTGGAGGCTTAGCCCTTAGAGGCACACGAGCACAGAAAATGCTGAATCTCTTGGTAGAATCTGGGGTCATTTTCTGCACAATTCAGTTCATCTATGTCATAGTTATTGTGCTAGATGCATACAACATCATAACTCCGAATTCTCAATGGCCCCGGCACGCTGTTGACGCCCTCTTTGTTACTGCGTCTGTGAGTTGCCCAGCTCTTATACGTTATTTATTATTTAATTACAAGAGACTGATCATCGGATTGTCCAGGCATGTTATCCAGTTGCAGTAATTGGCCTTCTCCACAAGAATAACAAACGACCAAGATCAACCGAGAGCTATAGTCCTCCGAGTCAGAACTCTGTACAGAGTGATGATATCTGCTTCAGTACCATGAGAGATTCGTACGGGGTAGTAGCGAGTCTAAGTATAATGATAGCTTGATGCGACTCGGAAGGTTTTGGGAGTGGGAGAGATTTTACAGGCTACTTATACTAACCCAAGGCTTATGAGGGCTCACTTTTTGTACACAACTTTGAACGGTATGGTACAGCACTTCACTATTTGCAATGGTTTAAACAGGCCAAACGTTTCAAAGAAGTAGCTGGATCTATGCCAATGCAAATTCTACAAGCCCCATCTCTTTAAGATCCCAAACTTTGACAAATTTTAATCCAGCTTGCTCGCCTAAACTAATGAATTGTTCCAAGTGACGCTGTTCACTGTTGAACAAAATCATCATGTCCAAATCAAGATTGTATCTCCGAATACCTCCAGCACCGTAGTTGGGCAGAAGAGGCTCCGGTGCAAGCTCGGTAGCTGCTTCGCCGGACTCTTTGTTGGCATGTTGGAGAATATATTCATCTGGGGGGCCGTGAGCAAGGTGCAACAGAGTAGGGACCCAGAAAAAGGCATTCCACATACGGATGAGGACTCTACTTGTGGGAGACATTACACTCTTGATGCCCTTCAAGATTGTTACACACTCTTTGTCAGGCCAGTTATGGCTAAAGATCCATCAAATCAGAACTCGACCACACCCATCTCAAAGATGATACTTGCAGTATGTGCTTCAACTATAAAATAAACTGTCATCTTTTGAAATCCAAAGCTGGTCAACGACTTGGCTCACAAAGTAGACATCACATTTGGGAACTGGCGCCTCCACAAAAAAATCAAAAGCTTTAAACTGGACTGTCTGATTTTCAATTGCCTTGGGACAAAATTTGGAGAAGTTCTCCATTGCTTGCTGAATTGTCTGTGGCGAATCTTGTAAGACAATTTTGAGATCAGGATACATATTCGTTAGCTGAACTGAGATATGTCCAATCCCGCCGCCCACGTCGCAAACAGTTGCACCCTTGGGCAGGTTGTGCCAGGGATTTTCTGTGCTGACATGAATCCGAAGACTGCACACTGAAAGGACAGAGATTAAACAAACCATGGACGACGGAGCTGGCCTCTGTTCCATTATTCCATGCTGGCATCACACGGCCAAATCTTTCCCTTTGTCCAGAGCCTTCAGGGGTTTCCTGTTGAGCAATTAGGACTGTACCCCCAAAAAAAGAAAAACGCGGTACATAATAGTCGAAAATAGTGCCAGGGTACTTGCTGTACATGTTGAAAGCTGTCTGGTTTGTAGCATAGGAGTGACCCCAGTCCGAGTCTTTGAGAGTGTCAAACAAGACTGAGGCATATTTGTTCATATCGCCAGTCCTGCTTGAGTGTCAATACACTTTGGGAGCGTCTTGGGGAACGTACAAATGGACCGTGATATCCGACAAACTGTTTGAGCTCACCAGAAGGGCACTTAGTCGATTATTGGCAAAGATGTCACGTTTCACTGAGGACCAGTTTAGAGAGGTGTTTACCAATGCTAAGTTACACTGACGTACCCTCGCGGAAACAGTGCTGGGTAGCAAGTAGTCTCATAATCCGACCAAGTTTTCCCTCTTCGCACCCTGATAGCTTGGACAGCTCAGAGACATGCACGCCCATTTCTTTGTCAACAAGAAGGTCTGGTATCTTGAAGTTGACAACAACATTCATGCATGCTGGCTCATAGATCTACGAGAGCGATCGGTTCACTAATTTAAAGGAACAAAATGAGGAGGCATAGTACAGCGAAAATTCTCTAACAAACAGATAAACGATCCGGTGATAAAAAGATATCACAAACCATACGTACATTCAAAATTGTATGGCCTGGGCGTGCCACCGTAGCGCAGAGCTGAGCACAGGCTCCCTCTATGATTCTTACCGCCTCCTTCATCTCCATTGATGAGTGATCATCGAAAGGGTGAGTCGCTGTGTCATCAAGGGATGGGATCTTTGGATTTTCCGATTTGGCAAATTTGGCTTCCACCACCTTTGTGGCCTTGGATATGAGGGAAACAAGCTCGGAAAGTTGAGTAGACATCACTAGTGAGTGTACTTGTAGCGGGAATCCGCTTCGCTTGATGGTTCTTGATCCTAATAAATACCATATACTTCAAGTTATCATCACTGAAATGCTGTAACCTGAGAAATACTTGCTTGTAATTTTAGAGCTCGCTCAGGCCACGCAGCAACTCCGGATCTTAGGTATGTTA